TCTCCCCTCCTGAAGGTCCAGCGATGGATCAATCCCCCCCTGAAGGTCCAGCGATGGATCAATCCCCCCCTGAAGGTCCAGCGATGGATCGATAAAAGCGATGGATCAATCCTCCAAGGTCCAACGATGGATTGATCCCCCTCCCCTGAAGGTCCAACGATGGAAGGTCCAACGATCAATCCCCCTCCAAGGTCCAGTGATGGATCAATCCCCCTCCTGAAGGTCCAACAATGGATCAATCCCCCTCCTGAAGGTCCAACGATGGATCAATCCCACTCCAAGGACCAACAATGGATCAATCCCCCTCCTGAAAGTCCAATGATGGATCGATCCCCCTCCAAGGTCCAGCGATGGATCAATCCCCTCCTGAAGGTCCAGCGATGGATTGATCCCCCTCCTGAAGGTCCAGTGATGGATCAATCCCCTTCCTGAAGGTCCAATGATGGATCGATCTCCCTCTTGAAGGTCCAACGATGGATCGATCCCCCTCATTGATGGATATACCAGGATCAGCCAATCCTCATACAGCCAGAGAAGACAGAAAGGATGATGCTCCCATAGTGTGATGCCGCCATCTTGGTACTCCAATAGACACCAATACAAGGTACACCCAACACGTGGCTTCTTCTGTGGCTTATATATCATGTAAACATGTGACGGGGAATTGTGTTACTTTGTATGAAATGAAAATGTTATCACACTATGGGAGCATATGTCACCACTGGGGGGGGGCTATGTCACCACTGATGGGGGGCTATGTCACCACTGATGGGGGCGATGTCACCACTGATGGGGGGCGATGTCACCACTGATGGGGGGGGGTATGTCACCACTGATGGGGGGCGATGTCACCACTGATGGGGGGGGTGTATGTCACCACTGATGGGGGGGGTGTATGTCACCACTGATGGGGGGCGATGTCACCACTGATGGGGGGGGTATGTCACCACTGATTGGGGGGGGGGGGGGGTATGTCACCACTGAGGGGGGGTATGTCACCACTGATATGAGGGGGGGGTATATCACCACTGATGGGGGGGGTATGTCACCACTGATGGGGGGGGTATGTCACCACTGTGAGGGGGATATGTCACCACTGAGGGGAGGGATGTCGGCATTGAGGGGGGGGCGGGCATCGGCACTGAGGGAGGGGGGATATGTCGGCACTGAGGGAGGGGGGATATGTCGGCACTGGGGGGGATGTCGGCCCTGGGGGGGGGATGTCGGCACTGGGGTGGGGGGGAATATGTCAGCACTGAGGGGGGGGATATCTCGTCACTGAGAGGGGGGGTGTTGGCACTGAGGGGGGATGTCAGCACTTGGGGGGTATGTCGGCACTTGGGGGGTATGTCGGCACTTGGGGGGGGTGTCGGCACTGAGGTGGGGGGTGTCGGCACTGAGGTGGGGGGGAATATGTCAGTGCTGAGGGGGGGGATATGTCGGCACTAAGAGAGGGGGGGTGTTGGCACTGAGGGAGGGGGAATATGTCAGCACTGAGGGGGGGGTTGGCATTGAGGGGGGGGAATATGTCGGCACTGAGGGGAGGGATATGTCGGCACTGAGGAGGGGATATGTTGGCATTGAGGGGGGGGGGGATATGTCATCACTGAGGGAGGGGGGGGGTGTTGGCACTGAGGGGGGATGTCAGCACTGGGGGGTATGTGGGCACTTGGGGGGGTGTCGGCACTGAAGTGGGGGGGAATATGTCAGCACTGAGGGGGGGGATATGTCGGCACTAAGGGGGGGGGGGGGTGTTGGCACTGAGGGGGGGGGGAATGTCGGCACTGAGGGGGGGGGGGATATGACGGCACTGAGGGGGGGATATGTCGGCACTAAGGGGGGGCGGGGTGTTGGCATTGAGGGGGGGGGGGGGATATGTTGGCACACCTCTGACATCCTCTCCAGGAATCCAATGAAGGAAAGACAGGTTGTCACTCTTTGGCCTTTCAGATCTGTGACATTGGTACATGTCCCCCATGGCAGTGCCCTCCTTCCCATGAATGGACCCTCCCCCCGCTGTACATTGGTACATGTCCCCCATGGCAGTGCCCTCCTTCCCATGAATGGACCCTCCCCCGCTGTACATTGGTACATGTCCCCCATGGCAGTGCCCTCCTTCCCATGAATGGACCCTCCCCCGCTGTACATTGGTACATGTCCTCCATGGCAGTGCCCTCCTTCCCATGAATGGACCCTCCCCCGCTGTACATTGGTACATGTCCTCCATGGCAGTGCCCTCCTTCCCATGAATGGACCCTCCTCCGCTGTACATTGGTACATGTCCTCCATGGCAGTGCCCTCCTTCCCATGAATGGTCCCTCCCCCGCTGTACATTAGTACATGCACTCCATGGCCGTGCCCTCCTTCTGATGAATAGTCCCTCCCCCGCTGTACATTGGTACATGTCCTCCATGGCAGTGCCCTCCTTCCCATGAATGGACCCTCCCCCGCTGTACATTGGTACATGTCCCCCATGGCAGTGCCCTCCTTCCCATGAATGGACCCTCCCCCGCTGTACATTGGTACATGTCCCCCATGGCAGTGCCCTCCTTCCCATGAATGGACCCTCCCCCGCTGTACATTGGTACATGTCCCCCATGGCAGTGCCCTCCTTCCCATGAATGGACCCTCCCCCGCTGTACATTGGTACATGTCCCCCATGGCAGTGCCCTCCTTCCCATGAATGGACCCTCCCCCGCTGTACATTGGTACATGTCCCCCATGGCAGTGCCCTCCTTCCCATGAATGGACCCTCCCCCGCTGTACATTGGTACATGTCCCCCATGGCAGTGCCCTCCTTCCCATGAATGGACCCTCCCCCGCTGTACATTGGTACATGTCCCCCATGGCAGTGCCCTCCTTCCCATGAATGGACCCTCCCCCGCTGTACATTGGTACATGTCCCCCATGGCAGTGCCCTCCTTCCCATGAATGGACCCTCCCCCGCTGTACATTGGTACATGTCCCCCATGGCAGTGCCCTCCTTCCCATGAATGGACCCTCCCCCGCTGTACATTGGTACATGTCCCCCATGGCAGTGCCCTCCTTCCCATGAATGGACCCTCCCCCGCTGTACATTGGTACATGTCCCCCATGGCAGTGCCCTCCTTCCCATGAATGGACCCTCCCCCGCTGTACATTGGTACATGTCCCCCATGGTAGTGCCCTCCTTCCCATGAATGGACCCTCCCCCGCTGTACATTGCTACATGTCCCCCATGGCAGTGCCCTCCTTCCCATGAATGGACCCTCGTCCCCCACTGTACAGTGGTATATGCCCTCTGTGACGGAGCGCCGGTCACCCCAATTGGGTGACTCCGTCAGAGAACGGCTTCCTCGCCTCTAGGACCCAGTGACTGAGGTATTACAGCCGGGCATCGCACCCAAGACTAGACGAGACGAGCTCAGATGCCAAACAGGAACTTTTTATTTAACAGAAATACTGTTTTTTACAGAAATAGGGGCAGTCCCCACAGGAGCAATAAACACAAAAATTACACATTGAGATAAAAATCCCACACTAATTAGGTAAGAGCGTGATCACAACAGTGCAGCCAACAGCCATCTAATCACCAGCCAAACACCCAGACCAGCCAGGGAGTCCACCCCAGACAGCCCCCAAGCCCAAGACAGCCCCACCCCTGAATACACAGAGTCCATGACAGGCTGTCCATCACTTGCATAATCCGTCCATTATGAGACAAAACTCTAATATCCCAGCAGTCTGAGCGGTGGAACTTCTCCATCTTCATAGATTTCTGGAGGGGGATGGTGGAGAAATATTTCTGTCCCAAATAGAGGAGCTTCTCCACCCCTGACCACAGGAGGGCCCCGTATTTCCTCTGACCGGTGACCTGTCCAAGATGAATATTCCATCCCTCCTGAGGGGAAGATTTATTGTCTGTATGCAGAGAATTCCTCTCACCCTCAGTGATCATCACCTTGTTGTCCATCATTAGAGAATGGTCTGCTCCCTGCATGGGCCATCATCAGGGGTAGAAGGCTAGGCCCCTAGTCCCCTCCAAAGCCCCTGTGCTGGTTGGGTCTGTCACACCCTGCATGGCAGTGCCCTCCTTCCCATGAATAGTCCCCTCCCCTGCTGTACATTGGTACATGTCCCCCATGGCAGTGCCCTCCTTCCCATGAATGGACCCTCCCCCGCTGTACATTGGTACATGTCCCCCATGGCAGTGCCCTCCTTCCCATGAATGGACCCTCCCCCGCTGTACATTGGTACATGTCCCCCATGGCAGTGCCCTCCTTCCCATGAATAGACCCTCCCCCGCTGTACATTGGTACATGTCCCCCATGGCAGTGCCCTCCTTCCCATGAATAGACCCTCCCCCGCTGTACATTGGTACATGTCCCCCATGGCAGTGCCCTCCTTCCCATGAATAGTCCCTCCCCTGCTGTAGATTGGTACATGCCCTCCATGGCAGTGCCCTCCTTCCGATGAGTTTGTCCCTCCCCCGCTGTACATTAGTACATGCACTCCATGGCCGTGCCCTCCTTCTGATGAATAGTCCCTCCCCCGCTGTACATTGGTACATGTCCTCCATGGCAGTGCCCTCCTTCCCATGAATGGACCCTCCCCCGCTGTACATTGGTACATGTCCCCCATGGCAGTGCCCTCCTTCCCATGAATGGACCCTCCCCCGCTGTACATTGGTACATGTCTCCCATGGCAGTGCTCTCCTTCCCATGAATGGACCCTCCCCCGCTGTACATTGGTACATGTCCCCCATGGCAGTGCCCTCCTTCCCATGAATGGACCCTCCCCCCGCTGTACATTGGTACATGTCCCCCATGGCAGTGCCCTCCTTCCCATGAATGGACCCTCCCCCGCTGTACATTGGTACATGTCCCCCATGGCAGTGTTAGGAATGTGGTCTCTGTAGGTGACCCTCCATATCCAGATCTTCTTCTAGGAGAACATGCAGATTATTCCCACATTTCATTTCACCAGAAGGAGGAAACAGAACGTCTCTGATATTATATACATTACAGACTGTATACAGAGAGAACCGTGTGCCACCCACAGGGGGGGGGAGATCCAGTGTAGACAGAACTGGCACAGTATAAGGTATGGCTGTTGTAGTGTGGGGTGAGGTTGGCTCGTTGTACGGTGAGGTTGGCTCGTTGTACGGTGAGGTTGGCTCGTTGTACGGTGAGGTTGGCACAGTGTGGGGTGAGGTTGGCTCATTGTATGGTGAGGTTGGCACAGTGTGGGGTGAGGTTGGCTCGTTGTACGGTGAGGTTGGCTCGTTGTACGGTGAGGTTGGCTCGTTGTACGGGGAGGTTGGCACAGTGTGGGGCGAGGTTGGCTCGTTGTACGGTGAGGTTGGCTCGTTGTACGGGGAGGTTGGCACAGTGTGGGGCGAGGTTGGCTCGTTGTACGGTGAGGTTGGCACAGTGTGGGGTGAGGTTGGCTCATTGTACGGGGAGGATGGCTCATTGTACAGGGAGGTTGGCTCGTTGTACGGGGAGGTTGGCACAGTGTGGGGCGAGGTTGGTTCGTTGTACGGTGAGGTTGGCACAGTGTGGGGTGAGGTTGGCACAGTGTGGGGTGAGGTTGGCTCGTTGTACGGGGAGGTTGGCTCGTTGTACGGGGAGGTTGGCTCGTTGTACGGGGAGGTTGGCACAGTGTGGGGCGAGGTTGGTTCGTTGTACGGTGAGGTTGGCACAGTGTGGGGTGAGGTTGGCACAGTGTGGGGTGAGGTTGGCTCATTGTACGGGGAGGTTGGCTCGTTGTACGGGGAGGTTGGCTCGTTGTACGGGGAGGTTGGCTCGTTGTACGGGGAGGTTGGCTCGTTGTACGGTGAGGTTGGCTCGTTGTATGGTGAGGTTGGCTCGTTGTACGGTGAGGTTGGCACAGTGTGGGGTGAGGTTGGCACAGTGTGGGGTGAGGTTGGCTCATTGTACGGGGAGGTTGGCTCGTTGTATGGTGAGGTTGGCACAGTGTGGGGCGTGTCGCACACGGACACCTCCAGTTCCAATGTATCACTCTTGCGTTGTCAGGCGGAGTAGTTGGGCCTCTCCTGGAGCCAACAGCACGCTGTCTTCGACCATCATTCCTCCAGAGTGGCCCCGCTGGGTGGACAGCAGGAGTTGTGCTTTGGTGGCGTAGTGTGGGAGGTGCAAAGAAAAGATCTGGGATTGGTTGGATGGATTGATGGTGATTAGGAGGGTGGAGCAGCCCCAGTGGCTCAAGACGCTAAAGGTGGAGTTATGTGACAGAGTCTGTAGCCAACCAGCATAGAGGGCGGGGTTCTGGAAGCGCAGAAAGAGCAGAGAGTGGAGCCAGGAGGGTGGCGGATGTGTCTGCAGAAAAAGAAGGGATGAGACTTGGTCACAGAATAATTTGACACCATTCCCATACCAGCCTGGCAGGGGCTCCCCAACAATTCTGGGGTCACAGCATCAGAAGTGCTCCCATCTGGGGTCAACCGTGAATGACAGAGACCCCGAATAATGCTCCCCTCCTGTCTAGGTAAAGGTCAGGTGACCCACCTGGCTGAGTGACAGTTTGATGGTTCCCGGCAAGGTCACCGCCATAAATTGCTGAAGTTCTGTAGAGTTGAGAGATGACACCTGCAAGGAAGACAAAGTCACTGATGGTCCACAAATGAGCCACCACCACCCCCCCCCTCTGACCTCTCACCTCCCATGCTGTCTTCATGACCTCTGAACTCTCATTGTCTTCCATGGCTTCCACTCAAGTACGGGACGGCTGTGCAGGAAGAAGGACTTGTTGATGGGGGTCTCCTCACACAGCCAATCAGGGAGCAGAACTATCCTAATAGTAGACATGTGTTAGAATTGTGTCATGTAGGTTGTCATTGTGTGACTCTGTAATATCGTGGTGTCACCTGTCATCTCCATTGAGACCTTCCAGCTCCTCCTGGAGACTTTCCACCACCTGAGAAAGAGAAGAGAACTCAGAACAGTGAAGGTTCCTCCAAAGTATCTCCATATGAAGAATGGCGGGTCAGGGGAACGAAATATCATACGAGCTTTGATGGTTCCCCACAAAATGTAGACAGCTGGTCGCCTCCATCTAGGAGAATGGTGATTGAGAATGTAGACAGCTGGTCTCCTCCATCTAGGAGAATGGTGATTGAGAATGTAGACAGCTGGTCGCCTCCATCCAGGAGAATGGTGATTGAGAATGTAGACAGCTGGTCGCCTCCATCTAGGAGAATGGTGATTGAGAATGTAGACAGCTGGTCGCCTCCATCCAGGAGAATGGTGATTGAGAATGTAGACAGCTGGTCTCCTCCATCTAGGAGAATGGTGATTGAGAATGTAGACAGCTGGTCGCCTCCATCTAGGAGAATGGTGATTGAGAATGTAGACAGCTGGTCGCCTCCATCCAAGAAAATGGTGATTGAGAATGTAGACAGCTGGTCGCCTCCATCTAGGAGAATGGTGATTGAGAATGTAGACAGCTGGTCGCCTCCATCCAGGAGAATGGTGATTGAGAATGTAGACAGCTGGTCGCCTCCATCCAAGAAAATGGTGATTGAGAATGTAGACAGCTGGTCGCCTCCATCCAGGAGAATGGTGATTGAGAATGTAGACAGCTGGTCTTCTCCATCCAGGAGAATGGTGATTGAGAATGTAGACAGCTGGTCGCCTCCATCCAGGAGAATGGTGATTGAGAATGTAGACAGCTGGTCGCCTCCATCCAGGAGAAAGGTGATTGAGAATGTAGACAGCTGGTCGCCTCCATCCAGGAGAATGGTGATTGAGAATGTAGACAGCTGGTCGCCTCCATCCAGGAGAATGGTGATTGAGAATGTAGACAGCTGGTCGCCTCCATCCAAGAGAATGGTGATTGAGAATGTAGACAGCTGGTTGCCTCCATCCAAGAGAATGGTGATTGAGAATGTAGACAGCTGGTTGCCTCCATCCAAGAGAATGGTGATTGAGAATGTAGACAGCTGGTCGCCTCCATCTAGGAGAATGGTGATTGAGAATGTAGACAGCTGGTCGCCTCCATCTAGGAGAATGGTGATTGAGAATGTAGACAGCTGGTCGCCTCCATCCAGGAGAATGGTGATTGAGAATGTAGACAGCTGGTCGCCTCCATCCAAGAAAATGGTGATTGAGAATGTAGACAGCTGGTCGCCTCCATCCAGGAGAATGGTGATTGAGAATGTAGACAGCTGGTTGCCTCCATCCAAGAGAATGGTGATTGAGAATGTAGACAGCTGGTCGCCTCCATCTAGGAGAATGGTGATTGAGAATGTAGACAGCTGGTCGCCTCCATCTAGGAGAATGGTGATTGAGAATGTAGACAGCTGGTTCGCCTCCATCTAGGAGAATGGTGATTGAGAATGTAGACAGCTGGTCGCCTCCATCTAGGAGAATGGTGATTGAGAATGTAGACAGCTGGTCGCCTCCATCTAGGAGAATGGTGATTGAGAATGTAGACAGCTGGTCGCCTCCATCCAGGAGAATGGTGATTGAGAATGTAGACAGCTGGTCGCCTCCATCCAGGAGAATGGTGATTGAGAATGTAGACAGCTGGTCGCCTCCATCCAGGAGAATGGTGATTGAGAATGTAGACAGCTGGTCGCCTCCATCCAGGAGAATGGTGATTGAGAATGTAGACAGCTGGTCGCCTCCATCCAGGAGAATGGTGATTGAGAATGTAGACAGCTGGTCGCCTCCATCTAGGAGAATGGTGATTGAGAATGTAGACAGCTGGTCGCCTCCATCCCAAGAAAATGGTGATTGAGAATGTAAGACAGCTGGTCGCCTCCATCCAGGAGAATGGTGATTGAGAATGTAGACAGCTGGTCGCCTACATCCAGGAGAATGGTGATTGAGAATGTAGACAGCTGGTCGCCTCCATCCAAGAAAATGGTGATTGAGAATGTAGACAGCTGGTCGCCTCCATCCAGGAGAATGGTGATTGAGAATGTAGACAGCTGGTCGCCTCCATCCAGGAGAATGGTGATTGAGAATGTAGACAGCTGGTCTCCTCCATCTAGGAGAATGGTGATTGAGAATGTAGACAGCTGGTCGCCTCCATCCAGGAGAATGGTGATTGAGAATGTAGACAGCTGGTCGCCTCCATCCAAGAAAATGGTGATTGAGAATGTAGACAGCTGGTCGCCTCCATCCAGGAGAATGGTGATTGAGAATGTAGACAGCTGGTCGCCTCCATCCAAGAGAATGGTGATTGAGAATGTAGACAGCTGGTCGCCTCCATCTAGGAGAATGGTGATGGAGAATGTAGACAGCTGGTTGCCTCCATCCAAGAGAATGGTGATTGAGAATGTAGACAGCTGGTCGCCTCCCATCTAGGAGAATGGTGATTGAGAATGTAGACAGCTGTCGCCTCCATCCAGGAGAATGGTGATTGAGAATGTAGACAGCTGGTCGCCTCCATCTAGGAGAATGGTGATTGAGAATGTAGACAGCTGGTCTTCTCCATCCAGGAGAATGGTGATTGAGAATGTAGACAGCTGGTGGCCTCCATCCAGGAGAATGGTGATTGAGAATGTAGACAGCTGGTCGCCTCCATCTAGGAGAATGGTGATTGAGAATGTAGACAGCTGGTTGCCTCCATCAAGAGAATGGTGATTGAGAATGTAGACAGCTGGTCGCCTCCATCTAGGAGAATGGTGATTGAGAATGTAGACAGCTGGTTGCCTCCATCAAGAGAATGGTGATTGAGAATGTAGACAGCTGGTTGCCTCCATCCAGGAGAAAGGGTGATTGAGAATGTAGACAGCTGGTCGCCTCCATCCAAGAGAATGGTGTGGTGTATGAGATTGTACTGGGAAATCTTGGTCCAGAGTTATCCCAGAAACTATCCCATGTTTGGACCCTCAGTGGTGATCTCTGTACTGGTCCTCAGGGTCTCTATCAGGGCTGTCAGTGTGGGGTCTCTATTCAGGGTCTTCATTGATGGCCTGTGTCTTTATCTTAAGTGACAATGTCTCTCCTGGGCCTTCAGTAGGGGTCTCTGTCCTATTCATCAGTGGTGGTCCCTGTCTTAGTCCTCAGTGGTGGTCTCTGTCTTAGTCCTCAGTGGTGGTCTCTGTCTTAGTCCTCAGTGGTGGTCTCTGTCTTAGTCCTCAGTGGTGGTCTCTGTGTCTTAGTCCTCAGTGGTGGTCTCTGTCTTAGTCCTCAGTGGTGGTCTCTGTCTTAGTCCTCAGTGGTGGTCTCTGTCTTAGTCCTCTGTGATGTATCTTCTGGGATCAGTAGGGGTCTCTGTCCTATTCATCAGTGGTGGTCTCTGTCTTAGTCCTCAGTGGTGGTCTCTGTCTTAGTCCTCTGTGATGTATCTTCTGGGATCAGTAGAGGTCTCTGTCCTGGCCATCAGTGGTGGCTTCTGTCTTGGTCATCAGTGCTGGTCTCTCTTCTGATCCTCATTTGGGGGTTTCTATCCAGGACTGTCATTGGGGGTATCTATTCAGGGCCTTCATTGGTGGCCTGTGTCTTTGTCCTAAGTGAGTATGTCTCTCCTGAGTCCTCAGTAGGGGGTCTTTGTCCTGGTCTTCAGTTGGGGGTCTCTATGTAGGGGGGTCTCTTCAGTGGGGGCATCCCTTCAGGAACCTCCTAAGTGACAATATTTGTCCTCGGCCCTCAGTGGTGGTCTTTGTCCTCGGCCCTCAGTGGTGGTCTCTGTTCCGGCCCTCAGTGGTGGTCTCTGTCCTTGGCACTCAGTGGTGGTCTCTGTCCCGGCCCTCAGTGGTGGTCTCTGTCCTTGGCCCTCAGTGGTGGTCTCTGTCCTTGGCCCTCAGTGGTGGTCTCTGTCCTTGGCCCTCAGTGGTGGTCTCTGTCCTTGGCCCTCAGTGGTGGTCTCTGTCCTTGGCCCTCAGTGGTGGTCTCTGTCCTTGGCCCTCAGTGGTGGTCTCTATCCCGGCCCTCAGTGGTGGTCTCTATCCCGGCCCTCAGTGGTGGTCCAGGTCCTCCATCATGTGACACCGCCCCCCAGTCTGAAGTGAGAACATTGTATATTGAAGTATTGTAACCTCAACACTCCGAACCCAAACCGAAGAAACCGAATTCTGGATCCTCAATGAGACTTTTATTTTCCCTCCAGACAACATTCTTCATCAGAATTCCATCTCACCGTCATCAGGGCCTCCCTCTGCCCCCCGAGAAGGCTGAACCCCGACACCCCGTCCTGGATCCATCGCCGCATCGCATGCTGTACATGGGGGACATACAGAGGATGAACGGGGCAACTGCCCACACCCAACCGACACCTCCACTACCCCCCCCCCCCCCCCACTACCCCCCCCCCCCCAAACACCCCACACCCCACAAAACCCCAAACCCCCCCCCCCACCCAAACACACCACACCCCCCACCCCACCCACCCCCCCCCCCCACACCACACCACACCAACACCCCCCCCCCCCCCACCCACACCCACCACCCCACCCCCACCCCCCCCCCCCACCCCCCACCCAACCACAACCCACACCCCCCCCCCCCCCCACACCCCCCCCCCCACCCCCCACTACCCCCCCCCCCCCCACACCCCACCCCACCCAACCACCCCCTCCACACCCCCCCCCCCACACCCACCACACCCACACCTCCACCCCAAACCCCCCCCCCCCCCCCCCCCACACCGACACCCACCCCCAAAAACACCCCCCCCCCCCCACAAACCACCCCCCCACCCCCCCCCCCCCCCCACACACCCCAACCCCACACCCACTACCCCCCCCCCCCACACCCCACCCACACCCTCCACACCCCCCCCCCCCCCAACCCACCAACACCCACCACCCCCCCACCCCCACCCCCCACCCCCCCACACCACAAAAAACCCCCCCCAA